CTGCTTTCCTATTTATGCCTACAACAGTTTATCAGGTACTCAGGTTCATTATTGTAAATCAAAAGTGGGGTGAGGGGGGTTAATGTATAAACTGTTTCTGTATTTTAACAGCATTACAGCTTTGCCTGGATGTTTCAGTAACCAAATGTAATACATTATACACCCATGGATGGATGGATGGATACTTATTGGGGCGGCAGTAGCTCAGTCTGTAGGGACTTGGATCGAGGGTCGCTGGTTTAGGCTCCGGTTTGGACCAAGTCTGGAATTAGTCTGGTAGCTGGAGAGGTGCCAGTTCACTTCCTGAGCACTGCCGAGGTGCCCTTGAGATACTCTGCTATGTTTAGTTTCTGTTTTTATAGATGTTTTATAACTATGTGATGTTTGAATTGTGACCTGCTGAGAGACAGATGTAAAGTCTAAGCTAACTCTGGTAAAATAAATCAAATGGAAACCTTTATGTTGAACATTGCACATGGTCCCTTAACATCATCCTCTTGACTTATACATTTATTCTTTAGGGTCTTATTTCTCTTTGTTATCTAGATGTTTTTCCTTCTATCCTGTGTGAGAAAAGAAGTTGAATCATCAAAATGATAGCGTGAGGATTTTATGAAGCCACATGGGGTTCTCAACAGGAGATGGGATTTCACTGCCTTACGTTCTTGTTTCAAATGTTTCTTTGTTTTATCTTATTGGGACATAGAAAAGAATCCCTCTGAATACCAGCTCCTCCCCTCAGGCAGATGACACAGGGTACCCTTAGGTAGGATCAACCGTTTTTAAAAATTCCACCTAATACTACCTAGGCTATAAGGTGTGTGTAGATGTGTAGCTGTACCTGCAGTAGTTTGTCACTGTTCTTAATTATTACATATTTATGGTTTTAGTAATTCACTATGTACGGAATTTAATGATTATTTAACTGGACATGTTTTACTGATGAATGTATTTTGATATTTTCTTAGCTCTGGGAAGTCCAAGGCAGATCTCGCTCTGCCAATAAAGTTCATCTTATCATCATATCTCTTATTTTAAGTTCAAAAAAGGGTTTTGTTGACGTTTTGTGATCTGACCGCATAAAACATGTGCATCCTTGTTTTTTTTTTTTTTAAAGCTTTCAAATGATTAAAAAGTCACAATTAAATTAAACTGCATATATAACCTCTCATAACTTCACATTTTAAAGCTTTTCACAGTATGATGAATTTAAAAACCATTTCTTTGTACTTTCTTTTGGCTGGAAAACGATTAAACCTTGATTTGAAACATAAACTGAGCCTTTACAGTCTCTGTGCATGATGTTGTAAACATGCAAACGAGATCATGCAGCTTGTTATTAAGCTATTCTAACACTGATCTCTTTTTTTTGGTGTTCCTGAAAAACTGGAGAGAACAAGAAAGAGAGGTGCAGAAAAACATTTTATGGCAGCGCTACAAAAGTCATACGGCTCTTAAGTTTTGGAGTGGGAGTATTTGGGTGCAATCCAAAAAACATTATTTTGCTTCCCGGAGATAAGGAACGCACATCACTCCTTCACAAACGATCTCTTTGACATTGATTAATAACCTACACTGTCAGGTACTGAAGTATTTCACACACACATTACTACTTTTTCAGGCTCCAATGATTTCATATTCTCAAAGGGAGCAGTCTATTACTGGTGCAATGTGTCAGGGATTTGGCAGCGTGCTTCAAACTACCTTTTTTTTGCTTTAAAAATAAAGTTTTGATCACTTCATCATACATCTAGTTTGAATGCATGTTTGCAAAATATATTCCCATGGACTTAAATATTCAGATTTATCTGTGAGGAGTTTCTAACTGCCTATGAAAAAGTCTTGTTATGACCTTCAGAAGAACAATACACCATCAGAATGGCACTTACTTAATAGCAGGGGCGCGTCCAGACTTGTTGGACTGGGGGGGCAAACTGGGACGCTGACTTGTGCAGGGGTGGCCTGACATTTGTGTGCATACCGCTGAATGAAGAGAATTTATTTACCCCTTTTGTCTACACTACTCACATCGACTTTTGAGTAACACAAGATAATGGCAACATCTACATCTTCTAAGATTCATTCTTCAAGGAGTCAAAACAATATGTACGTCCAAAGTCACAATTAAGTATTTAAAAAAGTGCAGAAAAAAGTCTGCACACTGAAAACTACAAGCTGCCTTTTGCAACACAGGCTGAACGGTGGATTTCAATTTAAGTCTCACTTCTTGCAAGGCAAAAAGTCAAATATAGTTAAGGATTTTGGAATAGGATTTTAAGGGGGTCCCATGCCACCCCTCTGGACACGCCCCTGCTTCATTTTAATTCTTAATGCAATGGGGTGTCAGTCACGCTGCAGAAACAGCCCCATAGCGACTGAATTTGATAGAAGTAGCCTAATGATGCTAAAGGTGCGTTCAGGTTGAAAGGGGCTGAGCAGGAAGAGAATTTTACATCAGGTGCAAATGTCAATCATATTAATGCAAAGTCTTGAATGGATGCACATTTGCCCCGGGCCGCTTCTGTTCACAACTTAAAGAAGCTTCATTTTTTTTAAGTCACAAGGAAAATGTTTATGATTAATTTTTTGGTCACTTGGGGGCAGGATAACTCTTCAACAACAACAACAACAACAACAACAACAACAACAGAAAAGACATCATAATGATTGTCTGACTCCTGAGACTTTAAAAGAAAAGGGACACATGAGAGGTTGTTTTTACCTTCTGATTGGCTGAGGACTTGAACAAACACCACAGCACAATGATTCTCCGCACAAACATGCTCGATGCACACAGGCCATTAGGTGTGAAGATGTCACACAGCTGTTTGGTTGTCAAATTCGCACAAATAACACAAGGCAAGAAATTGTTTCACATGCAATCTGAATGCACACTTGGAGGCAGTGGACACTGACCGCTTGCTACTTACTCTCAAGGTTGGGAAAATATGCTTCAGTGCAGCACAGGTGTCATAAGACAGCAGGAATAGTGTCGTATTTCAGCTGATAATGAAAAAAGCAGCAGGTAGAGAAACTGGGGTAAACCTTAATTTGATCGGTTCCCAGCCTACACGGTGGCAGAGAAAACACAGCATCTTTTCTCATTTGAATTCAGTCACTATATGAGCCTCCTGAAATATGTTGGTTTGTTCTGTGTTATTTTGCAAAGCTGTTGGTACACATGGCATTTTATTTACTGCGAGCTGTCAAAGCTGGCACAAACTGCATGTTCTGTTTTGTGTGCTGAAAATAAATGGATTCCCGCACTGGTCAGGATTTATAGTGTGTCCATTGGTATGACAAGATTGGAAAGTTTGAATTATTATCTGAGATGAAATTGACTTTTTAGCTGACTTATGAAAGAAAGAAAAAATAGGCTTGCTATCATGATAGAAGACCAAAATTTAAACTTAGGATTTTTTAATAATATGTACATGTTATGACAGGAAACAGAGTAGAATACAAAATAATGTATGGATGTATGTCTGCTTAGGGGCGGATGTGGATCAGTGGTAGAGAATGGTCATCTCTGAAACAGAGAGTCGGGCATTTGATCCCCCTGTGGTCACATGTCCTCTGTGTCCATCGACAAGACACTTAACCCCAAGTTGCTCCCACTGCTCCGTCAGCAGCATATTAATGTGTGGATTAGTGAATTGTGTGAAGGACACTTCACATGGCAGCCTCTGCCATCATTGTGTGAATGGGTAGGTGTGACCTGCCGGTGCATTTATTATTTAGGGCTTCCTTAGGTTCTGCCCTAAAACTGTCATATTATTTATGATGTATGTCTTTTTGAATTAACAAAGTTTTGACCCTATTGGACCTCCGTACAGGAAAACTGACGATACAGTTTATCTGTGAGGGATACATTCAAAAATAAAAAATATAGCCTTTTTTTGTAGACTTTGTGTAAGATCATAGGCTAGCATATAGCAATCACACATGTATCCATCTTGTTTTAATTTACAGTAGGCTACAATGCAATGACATTAAAATAGGATAGGATAGGATAGGAATACTTTATTGATCCCCAGAGGGGAAATTCGGGCGTTGCAGCAGCACAGACAAGTAAGCTCAAAATACACATTTAACAGAATAGACAAGATAAATAAAAATAAAAACAGGGGGTATATACAAGTACAAAATGAATGATGAAGTTAACTATGCATGGAATTGAGACAGTATTTGCGGAGAATGACAAGATAAAGTGACAAGTGATGATTAAAGTGACTTGGTATGATAAATAGCAGCAAGTCATGTAAAACAGCAGAGAAGAGAGGCAGTGTTGTACCACAGTAATGCAGAGTGTAGTTATATAATATAATGTAGTATAATATAATATAATATAGTGCAATATGAACAATATAGTGTAATATAATGAAATGTTATATAATATAGACTAATATAATAAAATATATAGAATGTACAGTATATATATATATATAGATGCTAAATAATAATAATATACAATGTTAGTAATGATAATAATAATAATAATAATAAAATAATACAATGTTAGTAATGATGATAATAATAATAACAATAAAATAATACAATGTTAGTAATGATAATAATGACAATAATAATAATAAAATAATACAATGTTAGTAATGATGATAATAATAATGATAATAATAATAATAATAATAATAATATTGACAATAATAATAATAATAATGTGAGTAATAATAATAATAACAATATAATACCATGTTAATAATGATAATAATAAACCAGGATCAGAATTAGGTCAGTTTTATAAATAAATAATCTTGTCAGTAACTAAATCATAGAGATGATATAATTACCACCAGTCAGCATCAGGTAGATTATGTGAGATATTCCCTGCAGGGAGAGGCTGGCTGTGTCTCCTGCCACCCAGGAGACACGAGGGGTGTGTGTGTGTGTGTGTGTGTGTGTGTGTGTGTGTGTGTGTGTGTGTGTGTGTGTGAGATGTGTGTGTGTGTGTGTGAGATGTGTGTGAGATTCCCATCACAAGCAAGATGGCGGCGGAGCGGGCAGCCGGCTCCACACAGTGACTGACACACAGAAGACGCTTTGCCCGGCCGGGTTGGACAGATAACGGTGTCACCCTCTTAACAGGGAGAGAGAGGGGGGGAGGAAAAAACAAAACTAAAAACAAACAAAAAAAGAACAAAACAACGGACCACTTCTCGTCACCGACTCTGCAGAAAATGAGGCAAACCCGTTAGACGACACCGGCCGAAGTTAATCTGACGTCCACAAACGAGGTGAGTGAATGATGAAATTTAAATCGTGACGGAGGGATTTAACCAAACAGCTGCTAGTTACGAGATAAAAAAACAAAAAATCAAACTGCAAATCCCGTTTTCTAGCCTTGCTCTCCTCACTCCTGTCTCCGTTTGTGTCGCGTTTCAACCGGTGCTCCTTCTCGCTCATGACAGTTCTTCTGCCGTCATTGTATATTTGACCCGATATCTCCCATCATGCTTTTCCTCTCCAAGCAGCTTTACTGCGCTACAGGTTGCTGCAATCAACCCCGAATCGTGACTGTTTTAATCACCTGTGCCCGTGTGTGCGTGATGTAAACGGACCCACCTAGTCACACCACATTAAACCCCTCTTCATCAGGTGATATGTGACTGCTTTCAGCCACAAGCGTGAGGTCGTTAAGACCTAAAAATAACCCCCCACCCCCCCCCCCCCCCAAAAAAAAAAAAAAACACTAACCTTCTCCCTGTGCGCACCCCCCTTTTTTTTTTATTTTGCCGTAGGATATTTTAAGTCGTTCAGATTTTAGTTTGCCTCTACACTACACTTTGCCAAAGGCAGTGGTACAAAATGTGCACGGTGAGGTGAGTGTCTTCGTGAAGTCCAGATTAAAGGCTGTCACTGGCTGGTGTGTGCAGGCGAAAGGCACAGAGTTCATTACTTGGGACAGGGTGTTATGCTCTTGAAATCTCAGCAATGTCTGCAGCACGTATGAGAGAAACACAGCTGAGCCGATGTGTGCTGCACAAAAAAGGTTGCATGCATATACGAGGCTGTCTGATAATAAGTCTATTTTAGCTTTATACCTGTTTTGGCTTGCTTGCTATATACACACTTGAATTATAACTACGTACATGGCAATTTAAAGGTAGAGTCAGTAGTGTTTTCCACATTTTTTTTTTTTACTCGTACACTAAGTAATGCTGCTCTATCGTCACTTATGGGCCTCCATACATGTGTGGTAGTGACCGTGTCTGCAGAGACCTTGTCCCCTGCCTGGATCTTTTATGTTTTGGTTTGTTTTGGGTGGGAAGCTGGTGCGTTTCCTCCAGCCAATAAAAGCGAGCAGGTGATTTTAGGAGTGGTACAACTCAGCGATTGGACGCCATGCAAACTGGATTCTAATACTTCTAATCCACAGCCTTGGAAAGATAGATTCTGCGTCAGTCTGAGGATCGTGTCCACTTGTACTTGTGGTGCATGCAGCATCACAGAAAAGATATTTCTGTCTTGAGAAGTTTTTGGTAATCAGAGCTTGAGCACGAGTATGTTTACTGCTTCTTTTTCTGACATCAGACCTCAGACACGCACAGTGGTGACGGGCTGCCATCGGGTCTTGACATACTGACGGTTTACTTACCACAAGAATTCCCCTCTGCGTCGTTTAGTGGTGTCGCACGGGACGGGGCAAGTCTGGTCAAATCACACGTGTGACAGAAATACTTCCAAAGACTGTGATTTTGGAAAAAACCTCAGCTCCACATTCCAGCAAGGTAAACCAGACTGGAATCCCGTAAATCCCCTGCCTGCGTGGCTTTTTTTTTTGGTTTTCATTCAAGTCTTAGTCCCTTCACATATCATTCTCTCCTGGCCATGTTCTGTTGTTATGCTTGTGATGGACAGGGTGTTTGTCTTCAGTCTTTTTGCCGTGTCTGTTCACGTTGAGAGGGCAGAAAGGGGCGCCTTAATGGAATGCTAGAGAGGAAAAAGAGAAATACTTGAAGCCACTGTCATCTACCAGACTAGAGCCAAATGGCATTTCTGGTTGCATGCATAAGGTCGCTCGACTAAAGCTGTGTTGTCTCGTGCAGCAGATCCAAGTAGAGGATTTACGACAGTGAGTAAAAAGATCAAAGGACAGACAGCTAGACGTGTCATCTCGGCTGATTGAAGACCTCATGTACGCTCAGCAACCCTGGTTCCTCTCACCCTGACACCAGCCTCAGGGTTAATGCTTCCTGTCCACCTGTAATCGACACCGCATGTCGCCTCGCGTGGCGGAGGCAGCTTTAATACCAGAGGCAAAGAGAGGCTGCATATTATTCCCAAACTTGCGTAATTCAGTGAACATAAACAAAGAGAGCAGCAAACTGCACGTTTGTGGAGCGGTCGGCTACGGTGTGCGGATGCTCACCCTACTCGAGCTCCAGGAATACTGTTTGAGAATATGGAACTGAATGAGGACTTTTGAGTGTGTTGTGTTAGAAGAAATGAATTTGGGCTAAGATGTAACCTCCAGAGAATCAAGGGAAGGAATCGTTTTCGATAAACTCTTATTCAGTGTTTCCCTGCCTTGCGGGTTTCTGCAAGAATACTGAATATAACATGAGGCAAAACTTTGATATTTGGCAGACTAAGGGCTCGACTCGCACTAGGCCCAGTTGCCCCGTACCCCCGCTGGTCTGCACTCACGCTGCTACAGGCCCAACCAGACGGGGATTCATTACATGTCATGTCCAAGTTGTGTTCCTGTTGTGCATGAGTAACCGTACTGTACCCAATCCACCTCTTCCAAAGAAAGTGTAACATGCTGAACTGGACTTTAGGGGTCAAACAAGCCTGGACAATGGGCACAGTACAGATTGCTTAGTGTGAGTGTGCCCCAAGAATAACCACTGCACTTTGATACCTCCTGTCGAGATTCTCTCTCTGTAAAACTAGTCAGGCATTCACACAAAGTAAAGGAACATATGACAAAGTTAGTACTTAGTTTTTTGGTTTGCTGTGTGAAGCTGTAGCAGAGGTATGAAGACATACACATGATGTGTTTTGATTAGGATGCTGAAGGCTGCAGGAGCCTCTTTTATCTGTCACAATGATGAATATTAAAACTGTAATACAGCAAATTAATGAATTCCCCTTATCCCATTAAGTGCAAACTTGTTCTATTCACCTTTGGGTGTATAGTTAGAGGGGTAATGGAGAAAAAAAAATACAGAGCAAGAGCTGTAAACGCAAAACAAAAATAGTGACAGTTGTGCTTTTGGCATTCTGCTGTATTTGTTGCTTCATTGAGTACAAAACACACATTGACTACGCCTCTTATAAATGTGGACTGAGACATCATAGGGATGTAAGAAGAATATCCTGCTCTGTAGTTCTTATGGATGCAAACATTTTCTATTTTTTAGCTTTACTGGGAGTTTTTTGATGTAAAAGTCTTAATTTGGTCAAGATACAGCAAATATGTCACAGACGTGTTCTTGATAAGTCACATGTTGAATTCAATCTTATATTGAGATTTGTTCACGTTATTCTCATCTATACAGTAATACGTCTTGTGATTTTCAAATTGACTTCCCATGCCTGTGTTTTGAAAGAGAATATTCATCATGGGGTGTAAGCTTTGTCTACAATTTGCTCAGTTTTAATGATGTTGGTTATGATTTCATAACACGTGCTCTCTATTGTAACAATTACTGTGTGGAGCCTGTTCTAAGGTAGAAAATGTTCCTGACTGCATTCTGCCATGCATAATCATTCTGAGATTTCACTCCTCTGATGGTTTTGACCTTGCTCTTTGTGTATCTGTTGCCATGCTGATTTGCAAGATGAGCCATCTGAATTTACACGCAAAAATGCCAAATTTCTTTTTTAATTGCCGGGCGGCTTCTTCACCAGCAAAGAGGCAGCAACAATGCATGAAGAAACAAAAATAGCCCTTCTCCACATATCGTCCTTATTTTGTCTACAAAAACTGATGAGGCTGGACAGTTTCTATGTAACTCCTGATGATGCCGCAACCCTAATATTTAAGTAGCAAGACTTGGGATGGCAGTAGCTAAATCTGGAGGGACTGGAGGGTCGCCGGTACAAGTCTGGACATTGGTCTGGTAGCTTTAGAGGTTCCAGTTCACTTCCTGAGCACTGCCGAGGTGCCCTTGAGCGAAGGCACAGAAACCCCCACCAGCTCAGGAGTGCTCGCTGTGGGCAGCCCCCTCACTCTGGCATGCCTCCATTAGTGTCCATAGGATCCTGTTTGTGGATGTGTGTGTATTTCATGTGTGTTCATGTTCTTTAAACAGAGTGTAAAATGTAATTCCTCACGGGATTAATGAAGAATATCTTCTTGAAAAGCAGCACTAATGTTTTAGGGATGTGACCTCTTCTTTGATAAAAGCTTGTTATTGTGTCAGCCTGAAGGTCGCAGCACAGCGTGGTTACCATTTTTATGCAGTGTAGAAAAAAGACGACGTTGATGCTCTGGCAAAGAAAGCTTCGATGGATTTGTTAGAAGAAAGAGTGAGGACAGGATTTCATGTTCCCAGGGAAAAGCATCCACAAACACTAATTAGCTGTAAGCTCAGAGAGTATTGTCTGCAGGGAGAAAGGCAGGATGTGTCCTCAGTTGGTGGGTGGCATCTGGTTCTGGGCGAGATGATTTTAGGCGTTCTGCACTGATTTTATCATCTGAAGTGAGATGCACACAGATACCAGCAGAGTCATCTATCAGGACTGAAAGAAATACATCTTTGTTTTTTTCTCATTGGGAAATTATGCAGCAGTGTGTGTAGCATCTGGTTAATGTAACTTTCAGTCAGTGGTTGTTGGGTTGCATTAAGAACGGGCAGTTTTAAAGACAGACATTTGGTCAGACTACCAGGGTAAGTTAATATGTGGCAGGGAGAGACAGAGCAACATGTAAACTCTTCTTTGTCTGTACGTTTTTTTTTAAAGATGCTTTTGGGGCAAATTTAGCCTTTATTGGATAAGACAGCTGAGGAGAGACAGGAAATGTTGGGAGGTAAGAATGGTGGATGACATGCAGCAAAGGGCCAAGGCCGGATTCCAACCCACGGCCGCTGCAACTAGGACTATATCCTCTGTACATGGGGCGTGCAACATAACCGCTAAACCATCCGGCGCCCTAGGTGATGTTCTCTGTAAGTTTGAGAAAATATATCAGTATGGCTCTCAAATTTAAATATAAAAACAAAAGCCACATTAATTTTAAATTGGCAGCTTTTTATAACAGATGTCTAACTGCATGCAATACAGT